CAAGGGGGGGGGGGGTACGTCGGAAATTTGAAAGTTTTGTCGGAAATTTAGGAGGCTTTGCCCCCCCACCGGAAAAAGTGAATTTCCGCCACTGACCGTAGTAGGTACCAACTGCTACATGGCCAGTCAAAGCCGTTTTCCACCGTCAGCAGTATCGTATCGAAGCTAGCCTACGGTGTGTATTTCTGCTGGGGTCTACACCGTTGGCCAGACATTCCAACTCTCCCGATTTTACCGGGAGTCTCCCGAAAATTCATACAATCTCCTGGTCTCCCGATTTTTATCAAATTCTCCCGATTTTTCAGAATATTCGGGAAATATCGTAAAAAAATCATAAACATACTGTTTTTAGCAACATAATAGTCTGTTTTGACCTTTTTATGAAGTTACTTTATGGCAATTTATAGGATCACTTATAACAACATATTCCGAAAATGCAGGAAACGCCGTTTCAGAAGGCTTAATTTTTAAAATTTTTTCACAGAAGAACAAGAATTCAATTCACTGAACAGTCTCCCTAAATTTTACCTCCAGTAGTTGGAATGTCTGGTTGGCTATTAGCTATATCGAAGCGTATCTCTTTGTTTCCTGAGCACTAGAGTGGAAATAATGACTTCGACACAAAATAAAATGCTATGCTACGATACGATACGGTTGAACGGGAAAACGGCCCTTAGGCCACATAAAAAAAATAGTTGGTTAGCGTCCTCGCCCGCCCACAAAAAAGGCCCCGCTCAGGATATTTTTTTATTTTTTATTAGTAAAAAACCCAACTTTTATTGATCAACGGGCTCTAATATATGTAGTATTTCTGTTGACTGTAGTCAATTGTGTTAATAAATTGCGAAATTGCGTGCGAAAATGACGATATGAATCATATTTTGAAATATATACCAGAAAATATCTGTACTGCGCAAGAAAATCCAGTTTCGTACCTAAAACCCAGGCGTTAAAAATTAGTAAAAAATTTTTAAAAAAGCGCCCGCCCGCCCACTTTTTGGCAAAAGCTAAGGACGCTAACCAACTATTTTTTTTTATGTGGCCTTATATAAAAGTTTCTTGAAATTTGCAATTTTCCCATACGCGGGGTACCAAACATCAATTATGCAATAGCGTGGTCTGCAATCTGCATAAGGCATAACAGTCAATTAGAAGAGAAATTGCTACTTTACATGTAATAGTTGTATTATAAAAGTTGCATTTAATATAAAAGTTGCATTTATAGCTTTAATAGTTGTATTATAAAACTTGTATTAACATAAAAGTTGCTTGAAATTTGCAGTTTTCCCACAGGCGTACCGCGGGGTACCAAATATCAATTAAATATTTACATGCATGTAATCTATTTTAAAATATTTGCATCATCGCATGATTACATTTCAAATTCAAAGCTTGCTTCAAAGTATTAAATATGGACGCTTCAAGAAAATTGCTCAATTTTGTCCGATTCGCTCAGCCTAGACGAAATCTAGTCGAAATTGCTAACAGAAAATTTCTCCCTGGCTCCTATAGTGCAACTTTTCCGAAACATCTAAACGAACCGAGGGAAAATTTTCCTGTCGTAGTTTCGGCGAAAGACGTTGGTGCTACAGATTCGGCGACCGCGAGCGAATGCGCCCAGCTTTGCAAGGATAATTTCCAAGATACGCTAAATAAATACGGGGCGATATTATTCCGTGGTTTTCCCATCAACGGCCATCAAGATTTCTCGGATTTTTTCAACGGATTGGGCAAGTTTAATTCAATGGAATATATCGGTGGTGCTGCCCCCAGAATTCAGGTTGGCAAGGATACCTATACAGCCAGTGATGAACCGCCCGAAATTACGATTGAGGGGCATAATGAAATGGCATACATGCATACCTGGCCAGATGTGGTAAGGGTTATCATAATTATATATGTGCTGTATGTTAACTTCTTGTAATGTGTTAGGCACATAACACAAGCTACCATATTGGCTTGTGTTACCTATTAACCGACAATATTACATTAAGTTAATAATACACATAATGAAAGACAATAAGGCATGTAGGACTGTTCGGTATACCGATATACCGAAAATATCGCTATTAAATCAATATTGGTATATCGATACCGGATATTCAACCATACCGATATACCGAAATTCCCGATATACTGTGAATATTTTCGGTATACCGTGTTAAATTTACCAACTAGATGGCGAACCATAACCTTTATTTTACTACTGAATGGCAATTCAAAGAACTTTCTACTGCAATGATTTAGAATTTCCATTTCAGTGTGATTTTTTTTTCAGCGTGTCATTCGAAACATGTTCGAAACAGCTTCGAAATTATCGTTCAAATTATCGTTCAATTTCCTTCAAATTTCCATTAAAGAATTTTCCTTTATAATTATCAAAGGAAAACCGGTATACCGATAATATCGGTATAATTTTTTCGGTATACAGATACCGGGAATTTCTCATACCGAACATTCCTAAAGGCATGATGAACCAATGGTGAGAGTTCAGCTTTGGAATCCAAATGTGTGTTACCAGTATAACGAAGAGCAGGATGTCACAACATTGCCTCGAAGGACGTCTTGGAATGAAATTTGTATTGCTATGTTTGGGTCCATCATGCATATATATGTAATATTGCTTGCTAAGCAATTTCGAAACCAGCTAAAATCTGGGGTGTTTGATACTAGAGAGCTTATGCAAGCAACATTTTTGACAACACGGACGTAACACATACACAATTTAGCTGTTAACTATGGTGTCAGCAGTTTGCTCATGAAATCAAGAAGTCGGCAGTCGTTGCTTTCATGTTCATGATTTCAAACAAGAATGGCTGTCACCATCGACAACAGCTGGATTTACTTCAGTCGGTGTTTTTGAACTAAAACTGTCGCTTGCTTAAACTGCTCACTAACAATCAGACAACTGCAATTAAATATTTTACTCACAAAGGTACATGCATTTTAAAACCCGACTGTGTGTCCAATCCCCCTATCCAGTGTTTCATGGATACATGTTTACTAACGAGTGAACTATTTCATCTCATTTTATTAGCTACTTTTCTACTGCGACAAACCGGCTGGCCCGGGATGTGGTGGTGAAACTGTGATGATTGCAAATCGGGATATCCTGCGAGACCTTGATGCGGAAATGGTGGGGAAGTTTGCGAAGCTCGGCATTTACTACAACTATCACTGGGCAGATGCAAGCCTCAAGAAATACAAGGCCTGGCAACAGGTGGGAGGAACTATCAAATTGCTCAATGATGTAAAAGAGGCTGACCTAATCACTGACAGACTCAACTGATGGTCCTGGGGAGCACATGCCCCCCCCCCCCTGCCAAGTTTTCTCTAACTGCCCTTTTTCCATAAGAAAGACAATAGGAAAAGTACCCTATAGAGATGAGCCAATATAAAAAAGCTGATTTCTGATACCGATTGTTCAAAAGACAACATATACCCACCATCCGCAAAACCGATAATTTGTTTTCCTGAAAAGTGTACGGTTTTACTCTACTCAAATCACTAGATTAGAATGGGATGTAGCAACTGCAGGTTTGTTGTTGTGAAATTATTTTTATGCTTTCCACCATAGCACCCCCCTCCCACCCCAGAACATATTGCATTCCTACTCCCCTGACAAGACATCGGGCTCCGTAAAATATCTTCGTAGCTAGGGCCATGGGCATACCGGAAGGAAATATTTTTTAGGGGTCAAAAATTTGAAACATCACAAAATTGACCACAAAATATACAGAATTTGTCCCATTTATTTTTATAATAAACCAAAATTGCCCGACTGTTCAGCGAATATTGCCTGACTGCCCAACAAACTAGGGGGCTGCACGCCCCCCCCCCCCCCCCCCCCCCCCGCCCGCCCATGGCTAGGGCTGGATCATTGGGGCTAACCTGGGTTAAGATGATACATTAAATACTTACAGGTATTTATGACAGAAGATCGCAGTGACGTGGAAAAATATTTGGAAGGTATTGGTGCAGAATATAAATGGGAAGAAGATGGTTCCTTAGTGTTTGGTTATCGCAGACCTGCAATGATAAATTGTCCACATACAGGTATGTTTATTTTAACCTGTTTATTAAAAGCCGTAATCTGCACAAATGCACCCTACTTTGTTATTTTACTCTGTCTAACACCAGGGAACGGTGGCTAAATTGGGTTAACAGGTCTGGCATTAGACAGAGTAAAAAACCAAAGTACTGGGAAACATTAGGGTACATTACTACTCAATGGGTTAAGGTTGATTCTGCTTGACTACACTCTAGCCACATAAATAGGTAGGACACACAAGAAAAATTTTAAATTTCCACTAATGGGTTTTACCATGTAGACAAGCAATGTAAAAACTGATCTCTTACCATTACTGGTTATTGTAGATTTCCCATATGGTAAATTGGTAAAAAACCATGTTTGATAGTTACCATTAATGGTATTTTCCTGACAAAGTACCATCATTAATGGTAAATATTAAATTTACCATTTACCATATGGGAATCTATAAATAAAACTATAAATAATCAATAATGGTAAGAGTTTTTACGTTACTTTAAAAACCCATTAATGGAAAGTTCAATTTTTTCTTGTGACATCTGCCCTGATGGATGGCCCTGGCTTTTGGACAAATAATTTCTATCATGTTTCACTTGCTACTCTGGTTTAAATAAATGATTACAAAGATCAGTCGAACTGTAGTCAAGACCCAACGTTTCGACACTCGAGTCTAGTGTCTTCATCAGGGGTGATCAAAGGTGATCTATGAAGACGCTATTAAGACTGGAGTGTCGAAACGTTGGGTCTTGATTACAATTCGACTGGGCTTTGTAATCATTTATTTAAACGTGAGTAACAAGCGAAACATGATTGATATACCTGGTTGCAGTCAGCGAACAAATTAAACTTTAAATATTTTCTAATTTTCCAGCGGAACTACTCTGGTTTAACCATGCCACACGGAAACACGCGAGCGCGTGGAAATATAACCACCCATTCTGGGCAGAATTCACAGATCTCCCCTACCACAAATTTCCCACCCATTCGTACTTTGGTGACAAGAGCGACATTCCCGAAGAATACGTACAGCATATTCGCGAAGTAACATGGAATGTTGCCGTTGGTTTTCAACTGCAACAAGGCGATGTTATTGCTGTTGAAAATCATTTGGTGCAACATTCAAGGCTTAGCTTTACTGGAGAACGAAAGCTCTTAGCTGCTTTATTACAGCACCCAAAATGAATTTGTGACAAGCAGACAATTTGAATTTGGCATATTGCTAAAGTTGAAAATTAATACTTAGTCCCATACATGGACTTATTAGGCCAGGGGCTGCATGAAGTTAGGACGGCAATGCGAAGATGTGTTTCAAGCCCCAGGGCTAGCCAATGGACAAACCAGGAAACATTTCTTCCTAGCCATGTTTCCTAAAAGTAAGAAAACCAGGAAACATTGTTTCCTAGCCATGTTTCCTATTAAGGTGTGCAAACCAGGAAACATTGTCTCTTTAGCTATGTTTCCTGAAGGTGGGCAAACTTGTTTCCTAGTCATGTGTTCCAAAGGTGGACAAACCAGGAAACATCGTTTCCTATCCATGTTTCCCGAAGGTACTTCACACTGCCGTCCTATAAAATGTAACAATCTTGCAACGCAACAAGCTTGAAATAATGGTATTTGTAATATTCTTTATATACTAATATATTGTAAAATCGTTAATTAAATGATATTCTTTACCGTTGACGTTGTGTCTTGTGATATTTGTAGTGGTGACTGTATGACATCACAAATATGTAAAAATAATGATTGACTGGATAGCAATGAAAAGACAATGGAACATTCTCATCATTGGAGTCTGGATGACATGGTGGACAGTGGTATTTTTAGAACAATGAAAATGTTCTGATCACTAGATCATGACATCGAGAACAGTGGGATTTTCAAAAGAATGAAAAGAAACATTCCGATCCAGTGATCATGACTGCTTGGCGCTCTTGTTATGCCAGAAGATTAAACATGCCCACGCTGAAGAACAAATGATTAACCGGTTTCGATCTGCCCATTGAAAAAACGTGATTTTATCCTACAATCGTCGAATAATTCCATTCGGACAACCTTCACGCCCATATAAAAACACGCCTACCCCATGCATAGCCTAAGTTTCAGTTCCCCCTCCCCCCACCTGATGTTAATTTAGTATTTACAGCGACATCAGCTTGTACAAAAAGGGCACTTTTCGTCACAAAAAAGGGCACTTTTCGTCACAAAAAAGAGCACTTTTCATCACAAAAAAGGGCACTTTTAGTCCTTTGAAAATGCGTCCCCACGCCCCTACATTCACCCTTCTAGACGCTGTTCACAAGCACATGAGGAGAAAAACTATGGGCAGTTATCAATGATATGCAGTTCACGGTTTAAATTAGAATCTGGTTTACCGGTTTGAACCAGTCAAGTGAACTTCATGCATAATTCTGTCACCCTCGCCACAGCAATCTTCAGAGACCACTAACGGTCTTTGGACTGAACTAGTTGGTCTGTATTCTGTAATACAGATTGTATTAACTAACGTTAAAGCAAGTAAAACTAAACCAAAGATAAAGAAAGCCATTAGCCTGGGACTTAGTTGTAAGACTTTAATATTTTAAATTTTACTTGGAAATATATCTGACCTTGCCGTTGAGCTCATTCGTCTTCGCCTGTTCTTTAAGCCAAATCGTACGATACTACACTACACCGTACAGCCAGGTTGTGCTGTATGATTGTATCACAGTTCACAAACGTTTCCTCTTTCCACCATCCTAAGTCCTAACTCAGCATGCATGGTTGTCAGTACGATTCTGCGACTAAACTAATGAGATGGGTCAACATACATGCAAATTATCATAGACATAGTCGTTTCTACTGTACAATGACAATGTAATGCTTGCTATTCCCATGAGAACAAAGAATAGAAATACGAAAACGCAAATGACTTGTATTCCTAATTTAATATTGGTCAAGGAAAAGCTAACGATAGCTGGCTTTAATCTTGCTCCAGTTCAGTGCACATGGAGGACAATTTGGCAATTAAACAAAAGAATCTCATGACCTTTGTGTTAAATTGATGTTAATTAAATATTTAACACACATGAAAAATCAACCGTAACCTCATTAACGAACATCTCAATAGTCATTAGTATCAAAAAGCAAACGCCTTTAATATGAAACCGTTTTATTATCTCGGTAGCTATGCCTATGATATTACAAAGTATAGCATTGCATTACGGTCGATTAGTGATGAAATGTCCCTCAAGCCTCGAGAGGTTTAGTAAAAGTCATCACTAATCGCCCTGACTGCCATGGCATGTTATTACTTACAATTACATATTTCCTAGTCCTATAGGCTATACAGACTACAATCCGAGCTACACTCTACAGTCTACAAAATTATATGTACTGTACATGTACAAAATTATACTATTACAATCTTTTTTATATGCAACGTTAAATTGTACAATTATGCAACGTTAAATTGTACAATTACACGCAACAAACTGGCATTCCTATGTTATAAATGACGGCATTTTAAGAAACAATCATTGGTGGAATTTTTGGCATACAAAGGGGGAGGGGATAAATGCATAATATAGATTAATTTATGGCAGTAACAAATTGCTACAACCAATCTCTTGAAGCAATTTTGTTGATTGCAAGTTCCACATTACCCAATAAATAATATAATTCAAAAACACACACCCGAAAAATATATTATGTACATTTTTTTCAATTTGCAAATCAATTTTTGTCGCAGTGGTATCGCGAGGGATATTTGGAGGTAGGTTTGGATAAATAGGGAAGTACCGAATCTACCACTTCAACTTGCCAGGACAATACTTGTCAATGAGGGATTGGTAGTATGGTTTCACCTTCTCAACGTCAGGCAGGGTGTCAGCTTTCGAGTACAGGTCGAATTGACTGAAAATAATTAAAACAATAATTCACTGACTGGAGCAAAAAATATCTGGGTTTCCTATTTGCTGTTGCAAAAACGTATAGGGGGGGGCAGTTTGTACTTAAAAGTCTTAAAAGTCAGGCAGGCAGGTTGTGCCTAAAAATTGGGCCCAAACAATTGTGCTTAACAATGATTAAAGGGAGGAATTTAAGACGGCGCACATTAAATTGATGGGAATAGGAAGGAAATATGCTACGTTTTGAAATGTATGTTTCGTATGTTTCGACAGGAATTTTGGAAAATATACAACAAAAAATGTGCAAAACCACCAATTTTTAACTCCCCCCCCCCCCTTCAATGTTGAATGCTGATAAATTGGTTAGGTGAAAGCTTTGTGAAATGCATGTGAAAACCAACACTG